AACACAAGCAACACAAACACTGAAAAACCAACGCGACGCAATGGTGTCAGCCTTTACTACAATGCTTGACAACAACAAACCGCCAGAACCACCGCCAAAGAAACCACCAGACGAGGATGACAGCGATGAAGAAGAAAAGAAGTTCAAACTGACAAAAATGATAGAAATAATGCTACACAACGGCGCTACAATAGCAGATATCATATTAAACTTATCACACAGCGCAATTGCAACAACTATAAATATCGCAGATTTAGTCAATCAAATAACAGCAGGACATGCACAAAGTAGCGGTAGCAATTCATCAAATGAAGCTATTAGTGTTCATAGTTCTCCACCTATTACTGTCCATAGTTCTTCATCTGAAAGTCCAACAGAAATACCAGCACCAACTGAAGACGAAGATGAAGAAGAAGAAGAAAACCAACATTTCAATTTTGAAAAATTAAAATCTAAATAATATTATATATAATGGGTATTGGTCAAAGTAAAAATGATGCAAATAACAGTATGGAAGACATTAAGACTTTAAGAGTAGATGAAAAAACAAGAGCAGATACTTTAATAATAAAATCTATTCAAGAATGTGTGGCACGAATTGAGAAATTAGAAAAAGAAAAATCTGACAAATTAATATATAAACTTCCTGCTTTACAATTTTGCAATGCTTCGTTAATTTAAATTGATAATATTAAAACATAATTAATATTATTAATTGCTATCATAATCTGTCATTTCACTTTCGGGTAATTTTGTTGAGGCGTTGCTACACATATCATCTATTAAATCTTCTTCATCAACAAAATTATTTTGAAATCTTAATAATTCCTCGTCTGTTGGTCGTCTTTTTAACACTTTATAAAGTTTATGTATCCAAGAATTAGTATGAAAATTGTAATTACCTCTACGATACAATCCACCACATCTACATAGTTTCATTGGCATATTATTATATTATATTAAGTTAGAATATCTTTATTCATCATTTGTAATTTGAAATGCCTGTTCAAAATTGATATGAAACATTTTGTTAATGTCTTTTGAATTCATATTCACGTAGAAAAAAGAATATGGAGCAAAATTAACGGCTTGATGATACATATCTAATAATTGCTGTTTGTCAACAATGGCACTATTTTCTTCAATAAAACTCATTAATTCACTGGCATTTTTCAACCTAAAAATATATAATGAACTGGCATTTAAACGAATGATAGGCGCTAAAACATTGTATTTTTGTGTTGAACAAATCACACTTACTGCATCGTGCCTGCCTCTTGTAAATAATCCATGTAATAATTTACTATATCTAACAAATTTAGGGTCGTCTGCGTGGTCATCTATAACGATTAATATTGAATGTAGTTTCTTTATCTTTTTAGATTTCATATAATTAATTATTTTCTTCTGTCTTTCAATTACAGTTTCTAAATTTGCTGGATTATAATTATCAAAATAAATTTGTTCTTTTTCATCATCCACGTGCAATTCATCCCTGATGTATTTTTTAACTTCTGTAAATGTAGGGTCGTTATGGACACTGGGTGAAAATATAAATATTCTTGCGAATGAATTTCTATAAACATTTAAGATAAGGTTCTGAACCAAGACTGTTTTGCCTCCCGTTGAACTCGCAACTATAATACTTCTAAATGGTAATTTTGGCACGTGCTCATATTTGGATTGCTTGAATTCATATTCAGTTATGTTGATTGGTTTTATTATTGGAACATCTGTCATATAGTTAATATTAAAGATATTTAGAAAATTATATTTAAAATTAACTTGTAATTAATATTAAATGGAACATCATTTTTTATGATATGCTGGTGGCGAATATCATAAAAATGGAACAGGTTTTTCCATTGCTTCAATCAATAAAGCATTGACGCTAATTAGTTTGATGCATTGTAAAGAAAACCCCAAGTGCTGTGCCGTCCGAATATTATATCAAGCATGAAAATAATAAGGTTAAATAACTATTTTATCTTATTATTTATATGAATAGGAGTTATTCAGATTATATTAATATAATAGATGAAGTAGAGAATATAGAACAAGTAATAATAACTGATAATAAAATTAAGAAATGTTGTTATTATTCATTAGAAATACTTAAGCTAGGAATACAATATATCAAAAATACAAATGTAAATATCAATATAAATGGTGAAAAAGAAAAAGAAAAACAAAAATAAGACAAGTTTAAGTCTATCTTCAACAGAAGATAGCGGAGAAATTGTTAAAGAAACAGCAGTAATTGAGTTTGCTTGTCCTATGTGTAAAAAGATGTTAGAATTAAAAAACGAACTGGAAATACAAAGGAAGGGAAATTGTAAATGTAGTTGTGTGCCAGTTGGTTTTAAAGTAAGTAAAAATGATAAGAAAATGAATATTGATAAAACTAAAGACAGTATCAACTTAGAAACTGATGTTCATAATATAACTTTTAAATTTGGTAGGCAAGCAACACCATCCGATAATAATGAAAACGAAACACAGGAAACTGTTAAACAAATGATGAAAAATATATAATTAAATAAATAAATATCTAAATAAATATATAGTAATGTCTGAAAATGAAAATTATACTATTAATGATTTAATGAAGAAGATAACATTGATTGGTAAACATATCAAAAACTTAAATGATATGATTAAATCCATTGATGACAAAATGAAACCAGTTGAAAGCGAACAGCAGGAGAAGGAAAAAATCGAAAAGATATTTGAAAGCCGTGGCTTGGGACGTCCGCAGGGCAGTTATGAAACAAAACAAAAGAAATACTGTGATATGTTGAATACAGGAAAAATCAAACAACCAAAGCAACAAACATTAGAGTTTTATAAAATTACAAAAAATGATGATGGAGTATATGTATTATTTGAATAATTAATATCTAAATAATTCTAATAAATGAATTTATTAGAATTATTTAGCGGAACAAAAAGCGTCGGAACCATAGCAAAGTCGCTTGGATTTAATGTAATATCATTAGACTTGAAAAATGCTGATATCAACACTGATATTTTGGAGTGGGATTACAAACAGTTTGACAGAAACCATTTTGATTTTATTTGGAGTAGTCCCCCATGCACTGAATATAGTGTAGCAAAAACTAGGGGAATTAGGAATATCGAATATGCAAATAGTATTGTCTTAAAAACTATTGAGATTATCAAATATTTCAATCCTAAATATTTTGTAATCGAAAATCCACAAACTGGATTATTAAAACATCAGGAGTTTATGGATGAGTTTGATTTTAAAGATGTTGATTATTGTAAATATGGAATGCCTTACAGAAAACGCACTAGGCTCTGGAATAACATTACAACTTGGAAACCTAGAGAATTATGTAAAAAGGATTGTGGCAACATCAGGAATAATAAACATATTGAAACTGCACAGAGACTGCCATCGGGCACCAAGGAAAAATGGGGTGACAATCCAATAATACATAAACAGGAAGATTTATACAAAATACCTAGTGAATTAATTTGTGAAATCTTGGTGAGTTTGGTGGATTAAGGATTTTGAGTTTGGGGTTGGACTTGAAACTTGAAGTTTCTAGGTTCATCCAACGACAACACAGTAAAAAATAGGAGTTCTAAAATTTTGAAAATATTAGTTTTTATGGGGATAATCCATAGTGTATCAAATTTAGAAAACACCAATATTCACATAGATATATCAGGAAACTCCCACCAATTGCCAAACAGGGCACAAAAAAAATTGGCGAGAGTTTCCCCTTATATATTACTATAAAAATTAAACCAACCCAGCCCGCCAGCCCGGCCCCAGACCACACCTAGAAGTTGTCAGTCTCGTAGCCGAAGAAGACCAAGTGAATACCTGCGCAGGAAAAAAAACAAAGACATAAGGCAAGGGGGAGGGAGGAAACACGACAGCGCCCAAGCCAGTCAGTGGAAAATGCCTCTGCAAGCCGTCCCACAAGTTCAAAACCATCACTCAAGGCCTTTTTTTCACTCACGGCACTGTTCGGGAAACCAAAAGGGAAATGTCACTGTCACGACACAGGCTTGTCACTGTCACGACGGGGGCTTGTCACTGTCACGACGGGGGCTTGTCACTGTCACGACGGGGGCTTGTCACTGTCACGACGGGGGCTTGTCACTGTCACGACGGGGGCTTGTCACTGTCACGACGGGGCCTTGTCACTGTCACGACAGTGGCGTTTCCTCATCATTGAGACGAATGACCGAGCCCAACACATCAGCACGCCTCTGGGTTCTCGAAGGTCTTGTCCGCGAAGCGTGCGGGGCGTGGCAGGCAGGCGATTCCCAGAAACCAGGGCACCCCCTAAATCCTACAAGGGACACGCGAGCGTTAGCGAAGCTCGCAAGCTATGCGACCACGCCTACAAATATATATGATAAAAGTGATGAAACGAAGGAGGGGAGTGATGTTGTTGCTGTTCTATTTTTTGTCCGAGAAATGGACAAATCGTTTTTAGACAGTTCGAATATTTTTTTGATGACAAATATTTTTTGCAATATATTTTGCAAAATTTATTTTTTTGAAATGGATGAGGTGAGGAGATTGAGGAAATGACATTTTGAAGGGTAGTTGGTGAAATGAATGAGGCGAGGAGGAAGGAGAAAAGGATGGCGAAAATGTTGGAAAAATGATGATAAAAAAACGGATGAGATGGACAGAAAGGAATGTAGAAAAATGATGAAAACGAATAAGGGTAGAAGATGGAAAATGAAAAAAACATGTAGGGGGGGTGTATGTATGAAAGCAATTTATTGCTAGGCGTGGCCCTCGACTACTGAATGGCCTGTCGCCTCGGCGGTGTCCTTTTCGGTCAGTTTAGTTGAGCACAGATAGCACTGGTTTGGCGCTGATCATTACCCCCCCCCCAAAAAAAAAAAAAGAGGTTGTGCCCCGTTTTCCCTGTAAACCAACCCCAACCCAAAAAGGCTACCAATTGCAAACCAGCATCTTGCCAAAAGAACGGCTGCCTCGGCCTTAGGTGCATGGCGTTCAGAAGCTCTTTGAGGGTCTCTGCACGCCAACGGGCAAGACGCTCACCAATAGTGATGTTACAGTGTTCGAGTTCGACTACGACCCCAGCCAGGACTGCGCGCTGTTCTTGCCAGGCTTTCTGTCTGGTTCTTGTGATTTCAGTTCTTTGGCTCTTCGCTCATTTGGTGCTTTGTTTTTTTGGTCTGAGGTACTTTGTTTGGCCCTTCGGTTCTTTGTTTTTCTGATTCTTTGGTACGGTTGTGCGGTTGTGTGGTTCATTGGCTCGTTGGTTCTTTTTTGTTCGCTGATGTGTCCTCCTATCCGCGGACAGCGACTCGCGGAGCTGCGCTTTAGCAGTCTCGCGGATCGCGGCCAAACGAGAGGCACTCCTCTGAGGAAGTGCAGGCTCAAAATGGGGTCAATGGGGGCAATGGGGTGAGATGCCAGTGCTCACAACGGATCACGTTTCCGCAATAGCAGGGAAATTCACGGGACTCGCGACCAGGTCTCGACCCCTGTGCAGGCCCCCCAACCTATGGCGAACCCATAGTGACCCCTCAACCCGCGAAGATTCGACCAAAAGTTGAAAAGGCTAAGACTCGCTAAAGCTGAGGAGGACATCGTGAGCCGCTTCGAAGGCACCCCCGCCCCTGAGTGCCAGTCCTACCTCGAGCGCCTGGCCCTCGCGGCGCCCAAGCCGAAACTCGGCACCGGAGCCGGTTTCTGGTCCACTGGTTGTGACCTTAATCGTATGTGCGGCTTCTTGGTAGAGGGGATGTGTCTGTTTGATATGTGTTGGTTCTTGGTTGGTTGCCCCGTGTTGATGCTTTTTGGATGTATTTTCTCAACAACCTCAAGACTTCTTTATATTCAATGAGCAGAAGCTGGGTGCTCCCGTTTGCGCGCCCTGAACATGTTTCTTGGTTCCCCCTCGCTTACAAGCAACATGTCTAATCATGCTGTCGTTGACTCTGGAAAACAATGAGCTACCAAACATGTTGCTTAGATTTTCCAGATCCCCTTCAGCCTCAACCAGCAAGAGGCCTTCCTTTTGTGTTGTGTGAGTTATTCAATCAGCTGCCAACCAGCAGCCGTGTTTCAGTTTTGGGATGGGTTCGCTTTACCCACTTATCAAGCAAGTGGCATCCTTTTTCTCTCCAAAAACCAACCCCCCAGCGGGTTCCTTACCAAGGCTACTGGGCAACTGGGATTGAGGATCCGGTTTTCTGACAGGAGGGGTATTTATTTTAGGAATTTTTTTCGTTTTTTTTTTGGAATTTTTTTCGCTTTTGGCTTCTTGGCTTCTTGGCTTCTTGGCTTCTTGGCTTCTTGGCTTCTCGGCTTCTTGGCTTCTTGGCTTTTCGGCTTCTTGGCTTCTTGGCTTCTCGGCTTCTCGGCTTCTGGGCTTCTTGGCTTCTTGGCTTCTTGGCTTCTTGGCTTCTTGGCTTTTGGCTTCTTGGCTTCTTGGCTTTTCGGCTTCTTGGCTTCTCGGCTTCTGGGCTTCTAGGCTTTTCGGCTTATTGCTGGTTTATGCGGCTTTTGGTGGCTTTTTGGCTTTTCGCATCCTCTGCATTCCCAGTTCCTCTTCGGCAGGTGGCGTTTTTCCGACATCATGGGGGGGGCTGCCGGCCCCCCCCAACCCCCCCGCTACGTTTTAGATTTTCTGCAGAGATTTAATCAGTTGCACCCCTAGTTGAGTCATCAATTCTTCGAACATCATGGGGGGGTTGCACCCCTAGTTGAATCATCAATTCTTCGACCATCATGGGGGGGGGCTGCCGCCCCCCCCAACCCCCCCGCTACTTTTTAGACTTTTTGCAGAGATTTAATTGCACCCCTATTCAAATCATCACTTCTGCAAACAACATCGTGGGGGGGGCTGCCGCCCCCCCCAACCCCCCCGCTACTTTTTATATTTTTTACAGGGATTGACATGCCCTCCTACTTGAATCATCATTTCTTTGACCCCGTCACACGATTTGTGGGTGATGCTAGGGATGTTGGTGGGACATGCGGGGGATGTTGACGGGCTAGTGTAAAATGCGTCAATTTCGCGAGAACATGCTGTAAAATTCGACACTTTACTGGCCCGGCAGAGATTGAATTGCACCCCTGTTTGAATCATCACCTTTTCGAGCGTCCAATTTCGCGAGAAAATGCTGCAAAATACGACATTTTAGGTAATCTGTGTAGTCCGTGTATGTCTGTATGTATGCATTTCTTCGAACATCATAGGGGAAGCCACCCCCGCCAACCCTCCCGCTGCCTTGTAAATTCTATCACACCCTTTCTTGAATCATTGCACCCTACTTGAATCACCACTTCTTCCGACATCATGGGGGGGCTGCCGCCCCCCCCCAACCCCCCCCGCTACGTTTAGATTTTCTACAGAGATTTAATTAATTGCACCCCTAGTTGAATCATCAATTCTTCGAACATCATGGGGGGGGGCTGCCGCCCCCCCCCAACCCCCCCGCTACTTTTTAGACTTTTTGCAGAGATTTAATTGCACCCCTATTCAAATCATCACTTCTGCAAACAACATCGTGGGGGGGGCTGCCGCCCCCCCCTCTACAAATTCTTCGAACATCATGGGGGGGGCTGCCGCCCCCCCCAACCCCCCCGCTACTTTTTAGACTTTTTGCAGAGATTTAATTGCACCCCTGTTCGAATCATCACTACCCCGCTCTGTTTTTCTTAATTGTTTTTTTGTATTTTTTTTGCTTGGATTGAAATGCCCTCCTGTTTGCAGCATTATTGTTTTGACCCCGTCAACCCGCCAGCTACATTTTTGGATTTTGTTACCCACCATTTGTTGGTGATGCTAGGGATGTTGATCGGACATGCGGGGGATGTTGAAAACGATGCTGGGGATGTTGACGAGCTAGTGAAATGCGTCAATTTCGCGAGAAAATGCTGTAAAATACGATATTTTGCTGGCCCGGACGAAAAACGAAAAAAAATCCCGAAAAAAAACGAAAAAAAATCCCAAAATAAATCCGCACCCTTTCTGACACCCCACCAGCAGCTTTAGGTTTGGAAAAACAGGGCCCCCCCCAGAAAACATCGACCAACGTGCGCGAAGGAAATCGTCCAAAGCGACGCCGGCGCTGGGCAACGGCGGCAACGGCAACCAGGCGCGGTCGGTGGCCCACGGTGGGAATTTTGTGGGCCATCGAGTTTGTTGATGGATGATGGCACAAAAACCGTCCAAGATGGTTTTCTTTGGGTTCTCAATTCACAAGCCTAGAAAGGGCACCAAAAACAACCCCGCTTTGGGTTTGTCTCAAAATAGAGGAACCTGCCCACCCAGCCTGGTAAGGAATGTGCGTGGCTTTCTTTCGGCTCCCCATTGAAAAACTCTAGAAAAGGCACGCGCGAAAAGAACCTGGTTCCGGACAATTGGTTCATCAAAACTTCCCAAGCCCCTTTAAAGAGTCATACGCATGCAAGTGTCGTAGGGGGGCATAATTGCGGAAATGTTGTTTCGAGTGGCCATTTTCCCTGTGACTGGCCAAGAAAATCCTCTGAAAAAGTGATGAAGGGGTCATGCAGACGGCAGGGGTTCGTTTCAGAATGAGTGATTTCCACAACCTTGGAGCCTAGCAAAACTTTCCGCGAACGGAACTGGCGCCTGCACTGTTGAGAGTTGAGACTTGTTGCTATGTTCAAAGGAGTTTGTGAAACAACTATTGGGTGCCCCCCATAATCAACCCCGCAAAATGGCTGGGCATTCAGGATTTGTTTTGCCCCATGTCCTCAGTCCTCTAGCTGCAAAGTCTGGCAGAGACGCGGGGCAGAAGTTTCCAAGATATAGCTACACTTGAAGCGAGCCTTTTTCCCTTCCTCCTCTCTCTCCCTCTCTCTTTTTTTCCCTCTCTTTTTGTTCTTTTATCTTTCGCTTTTTTCCCCTTCCCCTTCTCCTTCTCCTTCTCTTCTCCTTCTCTTCTCCTTCTCCTTCTCCTTCTCCTTCTCCTTCTCCTTCTCCTTCTCCTTCTCCTTCTCCTTCTCCTTCTCCTCCTGCTCTCCCTCTCTCTCTCCCTCTCTTCCGTTAAAATTGATCGATACTGTTCCTACAAGTGCAAGTGCTGTAGTGTTCAAACAAACAATCAATGTAGCCTGCAGCTGCCAACCTTTTGACTCATGCGATGTAGTGAGCTCAAGGCCTGCAGTAGTGAACATGCATGCAACACAAGTGCAAGAGGTGAAGCATGTAGTTTAGCACGGCCCCTCAGTTAAAAGGTCTTTGTAGTACCTTTTCAACTGAAGTGCAAAACATGGATTGGCAGTAGTGATGAAAACCATTGCTGTTCATCAATGCTACTGAAGTGACAAAAAAAGTAGTAAGCTGCTCTCAGCTCACGCTGTTCATGGTCCAGCACAAAGTAGTGCAGGTGCTGGATGGAGTTCGTGAGGCAGTTGCTGGATGTAGTTGAGCAGGAGCTCAAGCGTGTAGTGCCCAGTGCTGGGCGCGGTAGGCTTGGACCATCTGTAGTCGACTGTCCAAGGTCGCATAGTAGTGGGTGGTGAAACAGGTGGTCATGTAGTTGGGGGCGCCTCGTAGCCTCTCATCGTCAGTCTCAGGGCAGGTCATATGTTGATCATAGTCCCTGAGGAAACGATGTAGTTGTGTCTTGTGGTGTTGGGTGAGCTTGGTCATTGTCAGTAGTGCAAAGCCGTAGTATTGGATGCTCTTGCAGAGAATTGTAGTAATGGCTTTGTGTTGAAAGTCGTGTAGTTGGTCGCGGTTGTAGAGGTAGTGGAGGAGGTCCGGTAGTAGTAGTGGCATGTGGTAGTTCCAGATGTAGCTATTCTTCAGGCTGCACGTGTCGGTGAAGGTAGTCATGTCGTATTCCACCTTGTAGATGGTTTGTGGATGTTGTGTAGTTCGAATGTAGTAGTTGTGCTGTATCGACATCATGTAGGAAATGTAGTCCCTTGTGAAGTGGATAAACTGTCCTGAAGTGAGATTCCTTAGGAGGGATTGTTGTCCAATCTGTAGTTGGATCATGACGTAGTTGGAGTTGTTGCCAGTTGTAGTGTGGAGTGAAGTTGTGTGGTAGCAGTGGGCATTGGCTGCTTCAGGTAGTGAAACGCTGAGCAGTGTGGAATTGTAGTGTGGCATGCGGAGGTCTCCTGGGATGCAGTGGATGGGTCGTGTGTAGTCAAGTTGTGAAAGTGGAGTTGCTTGTTGTTGTGAGAGTAGTTGATACTCTTCAAGTGTAAGTGCAGTGAAAAATTGAGCGTAGGGAGTGTTGTTGTGCAGTGGTGGCGTAGTGGTAGTCTGGTACTCCGTGAGGTGTAGTTGCTCCATGACGGTTGCCGTGTTGGAGTAAGCCGTAGTGCCAGGCGTGGAGTGGTTGAAGCGGTAGTAGGTCTGAGGAGGTGGGTTCCTTGGTCACTGGAGTCGGTAGTGCAGTGGATGGATTGCTGCAGTGGAACGCACATTTAGTGAGACGGAGCAAAAACAAAATGAGCCTGAGTAGTAGCTATCAGGCAGGCGGCGCACGCAGACATGTAAAACAAACAACTGTAGTGTTGACTCAAGCCGCCAAAAGTGCAAGTGAAAATACATGTAGTTACTGTCACTTACATACCAAAGGTGTCGTGTTACATGTAGCTACTTACATACAAGAAAGTGTTCAAGTTCGTTGTTGTTGTTTTTGTTGTTGTTGTTGTTGTTGTTGTTGTTGTTGTTGTTGTTGTTGTTGTTGCTGCTGTCGCTGTCGCTGTCGCTGTCGCTGTCGCTGTCGCTGTCGCTGTCGCTGTCGCTGTCGCTGTCGCTGTCGCTGTCGCTGTCGCTGTCGCTGTCGCTGTCGTTGTCGTTGTCGTTGTCGTTGTCGTTGTCGTTGTCGTTGTCGTTGTCGTTGTCGTTGTCGTTGTCGTTGTTGTTGTCGTCGTCGTCGTCGTCGTCGTCGTCGTCGTTGTTGTTGTTGTTGTCGTTGTTGTTGTCGTTGTTGTTGTCGTTGTTGTTGTTGTTGTTGTTGCTGCTGCTGCTGCTGCTGCTGCTGTTGTTGTTGTTGTTGTTGTTGTTGTTGTTGTTGTTGTTGTTGCTGTTGTTGTGAAACTGTTGTGCTGGTCGTTCGTAGTGCTAAATGCGTATCCCGATGCTCTGGATGAGCCTGTGTAGTGTTTCCTTGCTGATGTATTTGGTAAGCAAATCTCCGCTGTTGCGAAGTGTGTTGATCTTAAGGGTTCCAATGATGTCGTGTTTGATGAGGTCTTGTGTGTAGAGGAATTTGAGGTCGATGTGCTTTGCTCGTTTTGCTGGTGCCTTGTCGTGTAGCAATGCTCTTGCCTGCTGTGGAGTCTGTGTGGACGCGTAGGTTTAGCTTGCTGCAAATGTTGGTTTCAAGTAGGAAGTTTCTGAGGTGTAGTCCCTCATTTACTCCCGTGCAAATGGCGTAGAGTTCAGACTCTGCTGAGCTGAGTGCTATTGTAGCTTGTGTCCTGCTGCCAAATGCAACTGTTGTTCCTAAAAAGATGATGTTGAAACCTGAAGTTGATTTCCTGGTAGTAGGGCATCCTGCCCAGCCGGCATCGGCATGAACGTCGAGATCCAGGATGTTGTTGGTGTTTGCCCTGAGTGTTGTTGTTGGTTCTATGGTGAATTTGTAGTGCTCGGTGCCGTGCAAGTAGCGTAGTAAGTGTTTGAGTCTCTTTTGTGAAAGTTCTCTAGGTGCTGTGAGGTCTCGTGCTAGTTCATTTTTGTAGAGTATGCGATGTCTGGTCGTGTGTATAACAATCCTTCTGTACCTTTTGTGTTGTTCGTGGTCAAGAAGTCCTTCATCCTCCATTGTTGGTTTGAAGTGGGCGATTCCTGGAGTGATCACCGTGTTGCAGTTGGTCATTCCAGACTCCTCGATCATGTTGTCGATGTAGGAGTCCTTTAGCCCAAGGTTGCAGTAGTTGTCGAAGTGGTCATTTGCCAGGTTCGAGGTAGCCGATGTGCTTGAGTAGGACCTGATTCTGGACGGCCTTGAAAGTGGAGTCAACCGTAGTCTTGTCTCCAAGTACCAGTAGATCGTCCACGTTGACCATGATGTAGCAGTCGCGAGTCGCATTGGTGTAGACGTTAGGTTCTGACTTTAGTCTTACAAAGTTGAGCTTTTGTAACACTTCAGCCAGGTAGTCCTGCCACGCTTTTGGTGAACTGCGTAGTCCACACATGGCTTTCTTTAGTCGCCAGATGTTGTCCTGTTGTGGACAAAGTTCTTTAGGTGGCCAAAGGTAGACGTCACGTTGTTTACCGCCGTGGTCTTTTGCGATGGGTGCGTGTAGAAATGCGGTAGCACCTAGTCGCGCGATCCAGTTTGGTCGTGACATTTGTAGTGCTTGGAGTGTCCGGAGTGTCGTGAACATTGGTGTAGAGGCGTAGACGGAGTCTTCGTCCTCCATCTTCTCCGTGTAGCCTTTTGAGACGATTCGGCTTCGAACTCCTGGTCCTTTCTTTCTGTGTACCCATCTTGTAGGTGTAGCTTCTCTGATGACGTTGTCGCCGACGGTAGACGCATCTACTTCGTCGTAGACGTCATGTAGTTTCATTTGGTTTGACTCGTGTTTCATTCCTTCCAGTAGTTGTGTTTCGTCACAACCTTCGTTGTCGAAGATTATAGGTTGGTCTTCTGAGGTGTCGTCGTTTGTGTAGGGAGTGATGGATGTTCCGTTGGGGAGTGTCACTGCTTTGATTTTCTGTCGTAGTGGTTGTGGCTCTTTGGTTGCCTGTTCCGTTGATCCGATTGTAATGTCCTTTGAGGTGTTCTGTGCTTTGGTTGGTTGCATTACTTCTTCCGGAGTTAAACGTCTTAGTGTTTGTCGAGGTGGTGCTGGTAGTGGCGGATGTTGTCGTCCGGTTGGTGAAGTAGCCATAGGGCTCCCAGACCTTCCAAACACCTTAAAAAGCTGGGTCGTTCGTATAAAGACCCGGCGTTACCCACCCCGTGGCCCAGATCCCGAATCACCAGCAGGCACGAGCGCGGACAGAAAAACACACACACACACATACACGTGCACATGCGCCAACACACACACAGACACACACACGCACGCGTACGCACGCATGCACACACACACACACACCCACGCACGCACGCATACGCACACACGCAAACACACACACACACACCTGGAGATCTTG